GGTGATGGCAAGAAATAAGCCCACTAGCTCATCCACAACGACATGAGATGCCGAGTCTGCAGCTACCTACAGTACAGAATCATAAATAATTTGGACTGCATTTACAGGTCTAAACTGAGGTGACCAGTGATCTGATTTGAACTAGATCTGACGAATTGCCGACGGAGACAAGTCAAAAACAGGAACAGGCAGGAAAAAGAAGGGAGAAACATCCAAGACGACCAGAAACAAAACACTGACCTGGAATCCTGGGTAACAACCCACTGTGTGCGCATGCAATTAGCAGGTACTATATCATACTCATAGAATTCTCATGCAGTCATGCTTCCACACTGCCCAATTCTGCAATCAGATTTCCAGTGGCAGTTTCCACGCACCCCCTGCACACCTGCTGCACCTTCAGTTTCATGACCTGGTTTTCATGTGAGATGTGACTAAGCAGGAAAGCAGAGCTGGGAATTTTTTTGCCAATGTAATGCATCAAATTGAAGATTGCTCTATCCTTCGAAGTTCATGCCAGCAGGCTTAAAAATTGCTACGTTCAGGTACAGCTTCGGAAATATAAACTATGGTTGAATTTTTTGCTAAACAGTATCATATGCAGGATAGATCTTGCGTGGGGCCTGAGAGGGCACCCCCAACCATTTTTATGCATGGATAAAAAGAAGAGGAACAATCATTCTGGATCCATAACTGATCATATAAACATATTCTGGACTATGGTTTAGCTTTACTAGTCACCTCACTAGTTTAGGTACAACAGTTCAGAGTTTCTTGATATATACTGCTGAATATTTCATTTCGGCACAATTTACTTCTAGGTTTTCCCAATATGTTCTCTGCCCTAGGCAATATGATGCATGCTGTGAAACAGTAGAAAAAGGCTGGGTGCAAAAGGCAAGGATCATCATCAGGGAGGAGGCATGATGTAATGATTAGCTTTGCATTCTAATATCAGCTGTCCCCACTAGTTAAGCTAGTATGAGGCATTGGGATTACCCCTACTCAAGCAACAACTAGTTTCCTCCTTTTCCGGTTGTTTCCTCTTCCCTGCCCTCCATCCATCTGGGCATTGGAATCCAGGAAAGCGTAGGGTCCAATTCTAGTCGTCTGGGGCATGCATCCCATCTCATCTCTCCTATGATGCCCAGCTACTTTAGCCTGATAGAAAGGCTGTGGGAACGTGAGGCTATAGGGGTTTCCCCTGCGGCCTTCGCCGCTACCATGACATGTCAAGAGAAACTTTAGCCTGAATGTGCCTTATATTTGCATCACAGTTCATCATGGCTGCTCTAGTGCTCTTGCCCGGTAGGAAGGAGTTGCAGCCTCTAGATCTGCCGTGCAGCTTCACACATAAACACACACACAAGGCAATTTTGGTTTCCTTTGTTAGTGAATGACTTGTTTATCTGATATACTAGGCTGGCTGGAGTTTTCTGCAGAAAATGCCTATTTTTCATAAAGTGGGATTTCAGTTTTATAAGGAGCACAAAAAACATGGCATTTGGCATGTTGGAGAATACAAAACCAAGAGTCAGTGATTAAGTAATGCAAGCAGAAAAATAAATCTAGAACACATTACATGCGGATCTCAGGGACCAATAACTCTAAAAAGAAAATGAAATAAATGGAGAGGCCACTAGCCATTGCTTTCTTCTTGGGATAATGGTGGAACCTATCATGAATTTAATTTCACTAGCTAAATGCAAAACCAATATCTCAAAGATGGTGTGTACTGCTACTTCTACCATGATAGTAATCCGTAATCCCTTAGGAAATGAATCCCGCAACATAGTTGGTCTGCATTTAAGTAAATATGAGCAAAAGAAGGAATAAGACTGTATGCAAACCGCATAACCTGTCATCTTAGGAGACGAGCAGTAGCACAAACAATGAAACTTCATAGAGAAGGATCTTTGTGAAAAGTAGCTGCTGTTTAAAATCCTGGTGCGCCAGCTAATAATCAGGTGAACTTCACCAATCACCACCTATGCACCGTGGTTCAAATTAGTAAATTGTATATTACAAATGGATTGCTAAGATAAATAATACCATGAATCATGGACAGCTGCACTAGATTCAACAGAACGATATCATGTAAGAGGGGTAAACCTAGCATAGGGAGGTCTTGCCCCCTCTCTCTGCCCCTGCCTGTGCTTTTTTTTTCAAAATATATGAACTCAAGAAAGGCATATACAAGTATACACATGCATTAAAACAAAGTACCAACAGATTTTGGTTTAATGAAGAAAAAGGTGATGATAAGCTATTTTTCCTGGTTTATTACACATATTGCAGGCAGAACAAAATCAACTGCATTGATTTGCGGCACAAGAGCATATTCACATGGTTCTCTATCTTTCAAGCTTCAATGTACTACCTGCACATACAAGTGACTTGGAAGTCTGAACAGTGAGACACTTTCCAGGATTTTTCAAAAGAGGCTGACATCCAACATTAGGTCGAACGTAAAGTAAAACTGTTGGTATTTCATACTTAATGTTACTATAAAAGAACCTGGCTGGCGCAATTTAAAATCAGAAAGGGCACAAATGAAATCAGAGAACACGAAATTCAATATGCGCACATCACAAATTTGATTCCACTGTCTTCCAAAAATTGCTATGAGGATTGCAAGGGTTCCTGAGACATCATGATAGTTAGCTGGAATGATGTGAGGACCAATGGTCAGCAATTTTGCAAATTACCACACCCATGACCATCATTGGTGAGAGGCTCAGAGCCTATATAGACATTAGGACAGTGAGGCCTTTTCAATTACCTCTAATGATCCAAATATCTTTTTCCCAAACGACCCAGCATTACCGGCCCTATATATTAAATGGAAGGAGTGAAATTACAGAAGGGCTACATTCTAGAAGTTAAAAGAGCAGTTTATCTCCAATCTTGCCCCAACTTATTGCTACAGATCGGTAAAATACATGCAAAGCTTAATTTACATCCAACTGGATTAGGTAGGTTGGGTCCAATTGAATATGTCAAAAAGGCCATAGTAGCATAAAAAAAACTCAACCTGCAGGGGGTAAGACAGCCCCCGGGCATTGCATAACTTTTCACCAACCAATTTGTCACCTTGGAGAGAACATCTAACATCAAAATGTGTGCTTGACTTGATTTTTGGGCAATGTTAGTTGTGCTGACAACACTATAGTGTGATTTAAACACTGAAGTGAACAAGCTGTGGTGGCATGTTTAAATAAACAGGGGCAAAGCTAGAAAAATAACATGAAAACTTCTACTCCCTCCATCCCAAATTATAAGTCATTTCAAGAATCTTGGAGAGTCAAAGCATCTCAACAACAACAACAACAACAACAACAACAAAGCTTTTAAGTCCCAAACAAGTTGAGGTAGGCTAGAGTTGAAACCCAGCAGAAGCAATCAAGGTTCAGGCACGTGAATAGCTGTCTTCCAAGCACTCCTATCTAAGGTTAAGTCTTTGGGTATATTCCATCCTTTCAAGTCTCCTTTTATTGCCTCTACCCAATTCAACTTCGGTCTTCCTCTGCCTCTCTTCACGTTACTATCTTGGCTTAGAATTCCACTACGCACCGGTGCCTCTGGAGGTCTCCGTTGGACATGTCCAAACCATCTCAACCGGTGTTGGACAAGCTTTTCTTCAATTGGTGCTACCCCTAATCTATCACGTATATCATCGTTCCGAACTCGATCCCTTCTTATATGACCGCAAATCCAACGCAACATACGCATTTCCGCGACACCTATCTGTTGAACATGTCGTCTTTTCGTAGGCCAACATTCTGCACCATACAACATAGCAGGTCTAATCGTCGTCCTATAAAACTTGCCTTTTAGCTTCCGTAGTACCCTTTTGTCACATAGGACACCAGATGCTTGCCGCCACTTCATCCACCCTGCTTTGATTCTATGGCTAACATCTTCATCAATATCCCCGTCTCTCTGTAGCATTGATCCTAAATACTACAGAGAGACGGAGATATTAATGAAGATGTTAGCCATAGAATCAAAGCAGGGTGGATGAAGTGACGGCAAGCATCTAGTGTCCTATGTGACAAAATTTATATGATAAGATAATAATATTTATGATACCAACAAATCTATATGATAAGATAATAATATTTATGATACCAACAAAGTATCATTAGGTTCTTTATTAATTATATTTTCATAGTATATCTATTTGATGTCATAAATTTTTGTAATTCTTTCTTTAATTTTGGTCAAACTTGAGATGCTTTAGCTCTCCTAGATTCTTGAAATGATTTATAATTTGGGATGGAGGGAGTATTTACCTAGATACATGGTGTCTTTGTAATGAAGGTTAAGCATCTCCCAAAAACTCCAGCACATAAGCCAGGGGTACAGTGATATGAGATTCTTTCAATGATCTGGTCAGAATTACACTTCCTTATATTTTGGCTTCAGCTATTTCTGGCTGAAGACCTCAATAAATGATTAAAGGTGAAGGTAACTCAAGCACTAGATGGCAACTAAGAGTCATCTATATAATTAAAGGTTTTATCCTATAGAATATCAGAAATATCCCATAAAGCATAAACTTATGAAACAAATGCAATCTCTAGAATGGTAGCATGACAATTGGCAATGAAATTTACCTTATTATAAGAGACTGCACTTTATTAGCTAATAAAAAAGGCTGAGATATTTCCCATTAGATGTTGTGTGTACCTCAAATTTCATGAAAATTGATATATAGAAGTATTGGGCCCCCTTGCTATATACAGAACCATAAACATATGCTCTAACTCTCCAACCAAGAATTACATATTAAATTTAGCTTGCTGCTTCTTAAGCAGATGAATGTAGCATATATCAAAGTATTAACAGAGCATGATACTCACAGTAATCTATAATAACTTGCTGAACTTCTCATTTGGAGCCACTAATAAGTTGAAATCAAACCCAGTCACTGTAACTCATGACTGAAGCCACAATTGCAAAACATAAACCAAGAAGGCGAGAATCGTCAGTCCATGTCAACCATCACTATCACCTTCATCATCCACATCATCAGCAGGCCCATCATTATCATCCACAATCTCCATTCCAAAGCACTCGACATCAGCATCCTCGTCCATTCCCTCCCCTTCAAATTCCTCTCCATTCAGTGCACCCTCTTCCTCAGTGCCATCCTCATCCAGAACAAGTTTGGACAAACCTTTTCCGCGGTACAGCACTCCAGTGCGCATCACATAATGCACCTTGTCCCTCACAGCAGCCAGGGGATGCTGCTCCACGAGCTTCCCTCTCTCGTACCCTTCACGAAGCACCACAGTCGTTGTCTTGCACTTCAACGACAGGTAGAACACCCCAGGGTACCGCGTGAACAGCCTAGTGAACCTGTGTGGCAGGCCCAGCTCCTCCCGAAGAAGCCGGATGGCGTTCCTCCGCACCATCTTGTGCACCGTTAGCCCAAGCAGCTCATGTAGCAAGCCGATGTTCCTCTTCTCGTAAATGTCGCTCTCAGGGTCGATCCCTGACGCGTCGTCGTACGGCGATATGTAGGGAAGGCGGTGGAACTCATCCATCCAGGCCTTGACCTTCTTCATCCCGCCGTACCCCCGCGGGAATCGCATCGGGAACGCGAGCGGGGCGCTCGACGAGGACGGCGGCCGGGACAGCGCGCGGTAGGTCGCGGAGTCGATGGCCGCGGCGTGGCGGCGTTGAAGGGAGGAGACGGCGATATCCTCGGGGAGGCCGGAGGCGGACCGTAGGGAGATGCGGTTGTTGGCGACGGCGAAGACACCGGGGTGGGAGGCTGGGAACGCGGCGGCGAAGTTGAACGGCAGGCCGAGGTCGAAGCGGAGCGGGAGCACGGAGGCGAGCGGGAGCGACCTGGAACGGGTGAGGAGGAGGAGGCGCGCGAGGCGGAGGTGCGCGTCGTGCGCCGAGGCATCGGCGACGCGGGCCAGGAGGGTGTGTGACGCGGGCGTGAGGGAGAAGGAGGGTAGCGTGGGGAACCGAGGGTGGGGTTGCTCGGAGAAGAGCGTGGGATGGCGGCGAAGGAAGCGGAGCACAGGTACCGTGAGGCCAAGCGGCTTTTGGAGGCGCGCGAGGGAGCGCGCCGGCACAGGGGAGGAGCCGGGGAGGCGCGAGAGGTGGTCGAGCAGCAGGCAGGACGCGCGGATGGAGGTGGTGCGCTCGATCAGGTGGTCCAGGCCCCGGTTCTTCACCCATTTGAGACGAACCTTCTGCATCTCTGAAGGAAGAGAGGGATTTGGGGTGGTGGCCTGCTGCCTGGTGGGGGAACGGAGAGCGGCGGCGGCGGCTGCGCGCGAAGTGTTTGAGGAAATGTGGAAGTGGCGGATGCGTCCTATACAGAGGCGGAGAGGCTAGAGGCAGCCGCGTGCGTTGCTTTGAACATGACCCAATTTGGGCCATCCAGGCCGCCAACCCACCCCGCACAGAACTAAAGTGGGCCATGACGATTTAGGCCCATGAGATATACGTCGGTTCGTCGAAAGTAGGCTCCTATAAGCTCAAACTACTACATTTTTTTTTTGAGAATGGCCCAAACCACTACATGAGCGTCTCTCATGTGAGCGCCCTCCTGATCCCACCACCTGCATTTCGCGCCAGTTGCGACTACGGGTCCTTTAGATTTTATATGGGCTAATTTTTAGACTTGGATCTAAACACCCTGTATCTGCTTTCACCCATTTCCTTCCTTTACCCAGAGGCTATTTGAGCCCACAAAGCCCAAAACCGTTCCGGGCTTCCGGCGCATTTGGCAATCTTGTCTTCTCTAAGAAGAAAGAATTCCACACAAAGACTCTGCTAAAACCCCCTGCACCCGTGCCAGAAAACACCGTCTCGGCGACGGAATCAGATCACCTGACGTCGGCCTCTTCGACGTTACTCGGCAGTCGACACATCAGTGCCGTTGGCTGGCATCCAACGGATCATAGTATGCCAAGCACTCCACCCTGCGACGGCCCATGGCCACGGCCTGTTAAGCGAGTAATCAGCAGCGGCGCCTTCGTCTTTTTTGGCGCGAGCGCTGGGTCTTTTGGCGGGACCGGCTGGGCTACTCTGTATTCCCAGGTCTTCTTCTTGATACGCCCCGTGGCCGCCGACTTGTCGCCGACGATGTGAGATACGCACAGAGGAATACACAGACGATGGGAAGGGGACGATGGCCCTATTCCCGTTCTTACTTTCTGGATTGCAAAATTGTTCACGCATCCTTCTTACAAGATAAGCCCGCAGCAGCGTCGCCCCTAAGGAGAGAGAGCAGGCAGCGCCTTGCGACCAGGGCCGGTCTTTGAGTTTATTTGGACCTAGCTAAAAGTTAAGGCCTTTTTATATAAACATGATAATATTACTGTACTACTCATTGCTAGTATATACACACATATATGAAATGTTACTAATAAGCAATTAACTAAATGCAAAAATAATATTTATATGAAATAATTTGTATATACATATTAAATTACCTCAAATCTCTAACATTCCTTGATGCGAAGTCATCGATGATGGTGTCAATATCAATCTCATCCAACAATCGCTTCTTAATGCATAATATTGTCAATTCATTTAACCTCTCTTGTGATATTGTAGATCTCAAATAGTTCTTCAACGATTTTAAATTTGAGGAGTTTTTTTCAGTTGATGCCATAGTCACTGGCATAGTAAACAAGATGCGATAAGCAATAATGAAAGTACTAGGATAACAATCACCTTACGTAACAAACTCAAAAATCTTCAAAGCTATCATTTGTCTATCTGGCAAAGCGGATTGTATAACCCTTAGCTCATAAATTAGATCATTTAAATTAATGTCAGATGAGCTATTTAGAGAAATAATTATTAATTGCACCGAGCCAAGTTAGCTCGAAAATCGAACCTCCAGCGAGGACTACGGTTCGGTTCGCAAAAACAATGGAGTTGCTCTAAGGTGTGTTTTATCCTTTGGCTAAAGTTTAGCTCTTGTCACATGGGATATTTGGAGGCTAATTAAGAGGACTAAACATGAGCTGATTATAAAACTAATTGCAGAAGCCCTGAGCTAGTTCACGAGACGAATCTATTAAGACTAATTAATCCATCATTAGTAAGTATTTAATGTAGCACCATATTATCAAATTTTGAACTGATTAGGCTTAATATATTTATCTCCCGAATTAGCCTATATCTGGGCATTTAGTTTTGTAATTAACCTATGTTTAATTATCCTAATTAGTATAAAGATCTGATGTGATAGGGCTAAGTTCCAAACGGGGTATGCGTGTTGTTAGCCTATCTTTACACTTTACATGAGATTTATTATCTCGTGATTCATTACTTCATAGTCCATACTTTCATAGGGTCAGTGCCTCTGTGATTGGTAGACTTGTTCACTGCTTTCTTTTGCCATTTTTGAATCGAAGATTGTCATGCCGCAATCTCATCCAGCACGAAACCACGTATTGGTCCAGACAACTCAGGCCCAGCAGAAAGGTTTACGCAAGTCCTAAAATGGTGTATGCGAGTCAGGACGCCAACGCCTTATGCGCTAGTGGGACTTTAGTGCCTAGTAGTTGCATGACATTTCGATTGAAAAGTGAACTCTTTAGACTAAGAGAATCCTCTTCTACGTTGCTTTGTCCCTTCACTAGTTCTCTGTTGCATTCTTTGGAGAGTTAGCAAAAGTGTGCGGTCGTGCGGAGGCAACGACCGTGTTCGTTTGTCTTATGAGTCGTACTTTTTCAACGAAGGAATAGTATTTTTCTCTCACAACAAATCAGCCAACGATATTTTTCAGTCTAGCTTTTCAGCCAAACGAACAGGGCTAACGTATGGCGATCAGCTTCCACCCGACCTGCAGCCTGGATCGGTGGTGCTTCCACTCGACCTACAGCCTGGATTGGTGGGTAGCAGCGGAGTCGTGCGACCGAGGCGGAAGTACATGCCCAATGACCACACCCAAAAGTTGATCCGGCCTGGATCGGTGGGCAGCAGTGGAATCGTGCAGCCGAGGTGGAGGCACATGCCGAGCGAGCACACCCACAGGTTGATCCGGCTAAGCAAGGGCAATGCTGCCTTGTGTATGGGGATGCCCCCCCCAAAAATAGTGAGTGTTAGATTGGCCTGTAATAATTTTTGCTCTTTCCAATTTAGCACTACAAATGTCCTCGTGATGTCAGATTGTTCTCTAACGCTTCCGGTGAAAAAAGACCTTTTGGAGATTGTTTCTAAACTTCGTGTGCCGTTAGCCTATCTTTACACTTTACTTGCGATTTATTATCTCACGATTCATTACTTCATAGTTCATGCTTTCATAGGCTCGTTGCTTCTGTGATTGGTAGAATTGTTCGCAGTCACTCATCCCTATGTTAGAAGTGTTTTTCGAGGTGGCTTCCTCTTTTTTAGTTAAAAAAAATATGGTAAATTCCTGAAAATGTTTAAACCATAAAAAAGTTTTTTGTCTTCTTAAAATTCCGAGAAAAATATAGAGATATAATTAGGATAAAAACTAAGATAAATATTTAGAGCTCATGAAAATATCTATAGAAGCTTCCAAAGATTATATTTATAGCTCTATAAAAATGGAAAAAATGTCCATAAAAATCTGAAAATCCCAAAATATTCTAATGATGTTTAAATGTGTTTAGAAACTTTATTAACAACAATATAAGATGTACCAACAAGAATGCAAAATACTGTTGTTGAATATATATTTATGCTGGTTATATTTCGTGTTTTTATTGTGCAACATTTTCAAAAGCATGTTTACAGAATGATTGAAAGGTTTTGGGAATTTGCTAGATTTTTCTATATATATTTTAACCATTTTCATGGACTTAAACATAACTTTTGGAAGCTTTTAAGATATGCTTTCAATAGTTCTAAATATTTTAGTTGGGTTTTCCTTGTGTCATAATATGTTTGATGTTTGTAGGATTTTTATTGGAATTATTTAGAAGCTTAGAGACAATTTTCATGGTTTCAAAACCCTATATGATATTTACTGGGTTTTTTAACTAAAAAGGATGAAACTTTCTAGAAAAGCACTTTAAAGGGTAGAAAGGTAATTTAAATGGTTTTGAAGAGTTGAGGAGGGGGGTGGTTAAGATGTCTAGTTTTGGGATTTTTTTATTTTTAACACTTTTTTCTAAACTAATTTTAAATTTAACACTGTTTTATTTTTTTTTCCAAAACTAACACTTTTGCCCGCGCCTATTTCCCTAGCACGGCGAAACGCCTGCGCCGCGCCATGCATGGTGGCGCGGCGAGAGGGATGACGCGGCACTGACCGGTGATGTGGCAGGGTCTGTCGCGCCACCGATCTTGGCACGACAGTCCTAGGTAAATATCACCCGCGAGCCGCCCTCCCTCTGTCTGCCTTAACGCGGTTGGTGACTTACGCGTCGCGCCCTCCCACCACTCCCAAGTGTTGTCGGCGCCTGGCCCTCCGTTGTCGCCTCCCTCCCTCCCTTGCCTTCCATTCCCTGGCCACCTCTCTCCCTCCTCGGCCTCGTTTAAGGTAATGACGCACTTTTTATTTTTGTTTTAATGGTGGATTGAAATATTATGAATGAGAATTAAGGTTAGGAGGAAAATTATGTTTGGGAACTATGGGCTATGGTTTGGAGGAAGATATTAGTTTGATTTTGTCAATGTTAAAGCTAATTATTTAGTTAGAAGTATGTTTATCATGTATATTTTTGTTGCTATAAGTGTTGGTTATATTATTTGAGTTACAATGCAAATGATTATATTTTACATTAATTTGTGTTGTTTTGATTGATGTTTAATTTGAACCGTTTTATTAGATGGAAGACTTATTTCGGGAGCAGTTGTGGCGAAAACGGGGTCGTCCTAGAGATCTGTACCTCGACGATTCTAGCAAAGATGTCATCGTCCCTCCTGACCTCCCTGTCCTTAACTGTGACTGTGGTTGTCCGGCCAACGTGTTTCAATCGAGACATCCGGACACAGCGGCTCGTTGCTTCTACACATACAGTCGTTTTTATGTAAGTAATTGTTTCCGTATGTTTTTTTTCATTTGTATTACTAGGTTACTAATATTTTATTGGAATTTTGTTGTGTAGGCTTGTGAGATGTGTTTTTTCTTTCAGTGGATCGATGGTGCAGACAAGCTTGACCCCAGGTACCTCATTTTCGACGATTGGAGGAGAGGGCGACATCCACGAGAGCACTTCGAGCGGTGGGTTCCACCTCCCCCTAACCTCCTCCAATGACGGCTAAGGAG